ACTCCTCAATCCGAGGGAACCCTTCAGGACATCGACACCTCATGACACACAACAAACATGAATAGCATACAGATATTCCTGGGGCTAAGGCCTAAGCCCTAAGCCCAACACTCGCACAAACACTAAGACTCTTAAGGTGCCCACCATTTATCCGGATCTTCACCAACACGCAAACAACTCATTACAATGGGATGAGCACACGCCGGCCAAGATGTTACCTAGGGGCCGATAGAAAGAAAACCCCCCGCGGAGGTACTCCTTTGCCCTGCGGCAAGCAAGAAGCACCAACCGGGTTACCTCGAGGCGACGGGCCAGTCCTCCATGCGTGGTGGTGTTCTTCGCGTGAGTTGGTAAGACGGCGCTGCTGGATCATCGATAATTGGCCTGGGTTGAAGCCGACCGCTCGCGAGTAGACACATGTGGCGTACGTGACTTTAGGCAAGTGAGTTGCGGCATAAGTGGCGAGCGAGAGGGCGGGGCACCGCGCGAGGACTGGCGTTTTAGGACCCCTTCGCGCACGAGAAGCGGACTCCTTGAAGAAGTCGCGCAATCCGCGACACTCCGGGCAACAAGAAAAAGATTCCGAGGTAGGCTTCAATCTACCACGTCACCTGCGACCCTACGAGTTAAACGTACAACAACCTACGAGTCAAGAAACCCTAGATTGTTCGCGCGGGCCTACTTCCTGTCGCGGTGAGCCGCAACAGCCGGCTGCCTCGTGGGTAAGCAAGAAGAGTCGTCGGGGCGCTACGTTGGATATCTGGTGGGCCTTCTTCGGCAATTGAGCATCGACATCTGGACCATTCGACCATAGATAGGCGTTGACGTGGACTTCGGGTTGACGTTGTCATACAGCGGCTTCACATTGGTGAACGAGAGCAGGTGACGACGTCGAAGGATCAAAAGTATAAATTTAGCCTATGTGGCGCGGTTTTTCACGCCAGGGGTAAGAATTTAGATAGCGAGGGAAGAATTTTCCTCGCGACGCAAAAGAACCCAGGGTCAAGTCAGAAGCGAAAGAAGGGAATCCCAAATCCAAAAAGAATTAACACGGTCTCCCTCCGTGACCCCAAAAATCGACAGTTGTGGTAACAAGTAGACGCAAAGTGTGGACGTCGTAGTCAACCTAAATCAAAGTTGACAGCGACATACAAGGCGAACTTAAGGTTCGACATCATGACTCAACATAGTCCATCCCCGACGAAGGCCGACGTAACAATGGTATGGATGCTGCTGTACACCAAGCCACCTCGTCTACGCCATCGACATCAACCAGACCAAGTCGCCATCGTTGCCCACCAGAACGTCTACAAGTAGATCCTTATTATAAGATGTACCGTTGTTCATCTTAGGAGGGAGGTGTTGTAGAGCCGTTCCTTATATTAGAAGTTGCTCACTCACTCTAGGCTAGGTTGATATGGTCTCTGTGGTTGCGGCGTACCCGCCGCACCTTGATATATGTGTGTGTTGTTCTCTAGTTATTCCTAGTGAACCCTCGGCATGTACGCCGATAGGCAGAGGGGGAACTCTTGTGTTTCTCTAATAAATCGTCAACGGCTCAACGCGTTCCACAACACCTTCCACAAGAAGTAGTAACGAAAGTGACGAGCAATTCTTTGTTACAGCCGTACATTGTACGAACGGAACTACCCTAGTCAGGCATCACATGGATTTGGAGTGTTGGATGGCACGGACCACCGCTTACTTTGATAACGGAAAAATGAAGGCCGATTGGCCTCCCAGCAAGGTATAAATAATAGTAATAAATACTGTTGGACAGGCGGGCGCAGCCAGAATGCGAAGAGGACACCCTCTGGAGCCGAACTGTCGAAGAAATTCGGACCTCCCCCTCAAAGAAAGCCTAGAAACCCTGTCAAGAAATTTGGTCAAAGCCCTGTTACTTTGTAAGTGAATCGCTGCTAAATGGTTCAATTTTTTGCTGCAGTCAGTATTGTGCCGGTTAGTTGCGGTTACTCAAACCATCAGGTTAAAGGCACCGTCCACACAGATTTTCGACCTCCGCGTTTTTGTCGTTCAAGGCCTTCTCATGTCCCTGATTCCGAATATGAAGTCGAGAATGCGCGAAAACTCTGACAATCCCGTTCCGGAGGGTCCACAGGCCGGCTTTCCGGAACGGTGATTGACTGGGCGCGCACAAATGGGCGGGCTGGATGGAGGTCCTCGTGCTTCGCTATTCCGAAGTGATTTTCTCGCTTCCGAAGCAACATTTTGCGCCGCGACTTGAGCATTGGATTGACAAGGGGCCCTACTATCATATGCTGCGAAAAGCTCAACACCTCAACTCAAGATGAACGGGTGCCTTTAACCGGGGTTTGCCATTAGAACACCCCTTTGCAGGAGTCAGCCCTATACAGCTTGGGACTGTTAGAGTGCGCAAACCTCGAGCATATACTGCAATTAGACAACCAGCTTTACACCCATTTACTCTGAAGAAGTCATTATTAGCGTTCATTTGAATAGAATGAATCGCCTAGATTGACAAATCAAATTGGTTAGTTTGACAGAGTTACAGTTATCTCATAGTTCATCACTTGCGTAACTTCGAAATGCTACGAATACGGCAAGTTTATATTTGATACGCTGGAAGGTTTATGTACGAGAAGATCTGCATAGGAAAATTAGATGAGAGAGTTTTTGTCTTTGGATCCGCTCTGATTTGTGATGCACTGGTCGCTTCATAAGCCCGAAGAGTTTTTATATATCAACGAAATGACAAAATTTTTTTGTTCAGTTATGTCCCGCTATCGCAATAAACATTCCGTCACATTGCCGTCAGGTTTTTGCGTTTTCCAATATTTCGTGTTCTCGAACAGGTCATCTAATCAGCGCTTGAGAACATTTCAAGAGTCAAAACGAACTCCATTCACATGATTTGAACCCCTTCCCATTCGCGGATCTGAATGCGCAAGGTAGACTAAAACAGATGATATCTAGAGCGAGATTACAGGAGTACATTGGATATTAATGTATTTCCTGGTCAAGTCTTGCAGGACAGTTATGACGAGGTTTGCCTTAAGGAGTCATGTTTTGTTCGTCTAGAGTAATTTAATAGATTTGTTTGTCAGCTCCTTTCTGCAGTAGGGTTTCGTTTAGACGGTGCAGTTCGGTTGTGAATGAGGTGAGCGCCGTCTCGTCCGGTGCAAGGTCCTGCGCGTCCCACAAGATGTCTTGTTCAGAAAACATTCTGTAGAGTCATGATTTCATTCTCGAAGTAGTTCAATACCTTTTTCCCATAATGAGGTAAAATCGCCATTTTTCATATTCTCAAAAAGTCTGCACAAACTCTTTTAGAAAAATGTGCAGCTGTCGAAAATACTCTCTTTTGCCTCTTGAGAAAAACATCTTTGGAAGCTGAAAAACGAAGATCAGCTTTTTATCAAGATCAACAGGTTTATTCTAAAGAGCATGGTCAGCTATCCTCAATAGTATACGCATCTATAACAAACGTTCTTCAAAGAAATGAGAGCGAGAAACTAAACTCGATGAGCTTATGAAAGGACCTAACATTTGTATCTGTAAATAAAATCTCAGTTAAAAAGGATTCGGAATGGAACAACAATGCCTAGACATCGCGAGATACACGTGAGTGTGCCACAAGTCTGAAGTACAAATTACTGCTAATATTTTCATTTCCTTGTCAAAAGCATTATGATCGGGTGGGGGGGGGGGGGGGAATTTCCAACGAATTATTTTGAAGTGCTCTACATGAGTTATAAAAATAGATAATTTGTTCATACTTGCAAATGATTGCAATAATTTCTGAGAATTTTCTAGGAATCGATCAACCTTGTAAGTTGTTTTTTCGCCGCCACGTTGACGGCCCGCAAAAATCTTGCGGTGGACGCCATGTATCTTCATTCGATTTTTTTGCCTTTTCCCTCCCCCTCAGAACGGAAAATCTGGGACCGCCACTTTATCCAAACTTTCTTCACAGGAAATTGTTATGCGTAGCGAAAACCGCATCCCAGTTTTAGATACAAAAGAGCGATGGATTACGAACACATATAAACCAAGTCCAAAGTAGATTGTAGATAAGGAGCCTGAATAAGAAGATTGATTAAATTGCGTACTAAGTTATTGTCCGAAAACTATTAAAACGAATTATTCAATCGGATATCTCTCAAAAGTTTCTTGGCAATTCTTTGTCAGGAAAAATGGTAGAAAAATTTGTATGAACGACGGACTTTCGCTGGGGTACCGGAATCTTTGACAATTTCTTAAGAAAAAGAGACATTTATCTTTTTTAAGAACATCTGCACTTTTGTACTCTTGTTCGTACTTCTAACTGCGTTCCTCTTCCTGTCTGTTCCAAATTGGTACTAGCTATCTCTCTCGCCTCCACATCTACTATCCACAAACACGTTGTCGAACATTGATTGATCTTATCAAATCGGACCACGATTGGTTTGGTCGCAATAGAGCAATGAACACCGATTTCCCGTTGAACATAGTTTTGAAACTTTGTTCTCAGCATTTCTTCATCGACCCGGGGTTAATTGCTATATTTGACCTGTTTTCTGTAATCGTTTGCGTCATACTACAGTCTAGTTTGCCGTAGCCTTATCATACGTCTCAAGTTTACTCTCTGATCAGATTGGCCACTCGATCACAAACCGTGCCTAAAAAGACCAGGCTTCCTCCTTCTTCAGGTTTTGCTATACTACATTTCAAATAGATTATTACATAAAACTATTTTTGTTATTTGTATACTCAAATTTTTTTGCAAATCACAACTCCAACAGTAATGAATACAAATATAATGATGTTCTGATACCACTGTTTCTTCGATTCTTGACCTCCAGCAAAGCATTTTGAAATGTTATTCAAATAGTTAACTTTTTTACAATTTTTTACCGGTAAATTATGTTCATTAATTTCCGAATATGTGTTATGATTGTACAACGACCCTTTCCTCACTTGCGCATAGTTCTAAAAAGTATTCTATTGGCTGATTGTTCCTCTTTCCATGATTGATTTTAGGCAACATGACCAAGCCAAAGGTGTTCGTGATTGGTGTGGGTATGACGAAGTTCTGCAAGCCAGGATCTCGTGACTGGGATTACCCAGACATGGTGAAGGAAGCTGGTTCGTTGAACACTTCTTCAGTAAAAGGAAGAGTCTAAGACATCATAGATTCCGATAAAAATCAACTTTGCATATCAAATATAGTAATAAGTTGTCAGAGCAGAGTCTGTTAAATACTGCATTCGAAGTAAAATAATTTCTTAGTATATGTCTCTGACTGAAAAAAGTAAATTATAGCCGCAGACATCTATGACTGTTTCAATATACGTTCGATACATTGCGTAATCAGTAGTCTTCTTCCTCGCTTGGTTCGCTTTTTCATGTGCCTGATAAATAAATAAACTTTTGAGACATACAAGAACAAACAGTTTTGGATTTATGATTCGCGAACAACGTGAAAATGTCCAAAACCATGAGAATCAATTTGATTGATGCTGAATGTGTCAGAAAACTTTTTTAGGCTTTATCCCTGAAATAAACAAAATTATATTTAGTCACGATGGCTCTTGACGACTGTAAACTGAAATACAGAGATATCCAGCAGGCTACAGTCGGTTACCTCTTCGGTGGCACCTGCTGCGGACAAAGAGCTCTCTATGAAATTGGCCTTACTGGAATTCCGATCTATAATGTGAGCGATTTATCATGGTCCCAGCATTGCAAAAAAAACTGTAAAAGTTCTAGGTCAATAACGCATGTGCTTCTGGATCATCCGGACTGCTCTTGTGCAAGCAGATCCTCGAAAGTGGTGAGTCTAAGCCCTTGTAATTCATAAAAAATTTTCATTGCCAAAGAAGCGAAAAACTCGAACTTTAAGAAAAGTGAAATCAAGCTCAAAGGTAATGCAATGCTGACACCTTTAGGAAGTTCCGATGTTGTTCTCGCTTGTGGTTTTGAGAAAATGGCTACGGGTTCACTAGATGCTCAAGGCGGAAACAGTGATGGCCGTGCTCTTTCAGTCGACAATCACATTCAAGTACGTCTTTTACCAGGCCCTACATTTATTTAGAGTACAAAACCCATTGAAGGTGATGGCCGACACTTATGGCCTTTTTCCTGCTCCTATAACTGCGCAGATGTTCGGAAATGCGGGAAAAGAACACATGGAGAAGTATGGTAAGAAAGAACCCAAAAAGAACCGAGCAATGGACTACTCCAAACTTCATTTTTAGGCACCAAGAGAGAACACTTCGCTAAGATTGCCTACAAAAATCACAAGCATTCTGTAAATAACCCGTAAGTATCAAAAGATGAATTAAACTCAGTGAATTTTGAAATTCTACTTTTTTAGAAACTCCCAATTCACCAAGGAGTTCAGCTTGGATCAAGTATTGAATGCTAGGAAAATCTATGATTTTATGGGACTATTAGAGTGCAGGTGAGAAATATCTGTATGTTCTAGTTTTTTTGAAAGATTCGATCAAAACATGCGAAAAGTGTTGGAAAAGTTATTTCTTTCATAGTTTCTCAATGATACCGCAAAATCGAACAGCGAAAAAATTGCTAAGTTCCACAAAGGACCATCATGTTAGTTTTTTTAGCCCAACTTCTGATGGTTCTGCAGCAGCTGTGCTTTGTTCTGAGCGATACCTCGAGCAGCATCCTCATCTCAAACCTCAGGCTGTCGAAATCGTTGGTAAGCAATTACATTTGCTTGGTCTAAGTCAAAAATCTGCCTCAGGCCTCAAACTTGGCACCGACGAGCCATCTGTCTTCAAGGAGAACAGCAACATCAAAATGATTGGTTTCGATATGATTAAGAGAATTTCTACGGAGCTGTATAAGGAGACTGGCATTACTCCGAACGATGTGCAGGTTCGTAACACTACCTCTAAAAAGCCTGTAAAAATCGTAAGAAAATTTTTTTTCAGGTCATCGAGCTTCACGACTGTTTCGCTCCTAACGAACTTATCGCCTATGAAGCACTGGGTCTTTGTGATATTGGTAAGATAAGATTGTAGATTGCGCGGTTCCTACTTATCAGCAAACGTCTAGGTAAGGGAGGAACAATCGTAGATCGAGGTGACAATACATATGGAGGAAAATGGGTAATCAATCCCTCTGGAGGACTGATTTCAAAGGGTCACCCAATTGGAGCTACAGGTCAGTCCCGAAAAATTTGGTTGATTGGAGGGAACAAAAGTGAGTGATGATAGTGTGAGAATGGGAAAGAAAATTAAAGTATAAAACAGGAGGTTCTAAAATTTGTAAATAACTCGATTAACGGCTGAAAAAACGGCCAGGAAAGGACAGAACTATGATTTAAAGGATTTGGAGGATTTGAACAAGTGTAGAATACTCACTGGCGTTATTTAAGGGGTCGCTCAAGTTGTCGAGCTTTCGAACCAGCTACGAGGCAGATGTGGAAAGCGACAAGTACCAAACTGTAAACTGGCGATGCAGCACAATATTGGTGGGTTTTAGACCTATGAGGACACAGAAATTAGATGATCAAGCAGAAAATAGAGACCTGAAAAGTGTAAAGCTATCTAACACTGTGTTATTTGTAAAATCTCAAATCGAAATTGTTTTGCACTGAGTTACCTTTTGAAATATAAAACCCTCACGTTGGCTAAAAATTGTTAAGGCTTATTACCGCGCCAAAATGTTGGAACTCCCACTTTTCGCTCAAAACCATTTTTCCATTTTTACAAGTCTTCTTGCTCATTTCTGGAAAGCAATTGCTACCAGGAACCAAAGGATTTCTCAAAATCACATCTTTAAGGGGTTTGGCATTGCTGCGAGATTTGTTGATGAAAAAGGTCGCAAACGCACAATTGAGTGTGAAACAGAAAATTCGATCAACAGCACATTTCGAAAATTTTTCGACATAATTCGTTTTCAAAAATGGAAATAATTTTACCGAAATAATTTTTACTCTGTGAACACGCAAATTGTGTGTATGTATCCACTCTAAGTCGCATCATGGAAGACTTTTGAGGGACCAAATACCTTATCGAAAAGAAGAGTGCAGTTTTCGTAATCTGCGCAGCGTAACCTTCGGTTGCGAACAGATCATCCATCGATGGTGTGATTTTCAAATGTGTTACCATCATTTTTCTCTGATAAGCATGCGCTTGACTTTTTTTGCATCTTGCAAACAAACCGGCGTTCATCTTTGGAACACTACTATTTAGCTGCTACTATGAGGTCCTTTCCACATGGTTAGTTTTGGGATATATTTGAGTCAAATGACATGAATGCTATCCTTCAAAAAAAAAGTTAGTCTTGTGATAAGAGTGAGTATCTCGTGTACTATTGAATTGACTAAATAAACTGATTAGTCGTTTTCATTGCTAGTATCAGTTTTATACAATACATACAGTTCCAAAGTTTTCTGCTCAAAGCTAAAATTCACCTGACTAATCTTGTATCTATCAGTTGTGCAATCATATAAGCACAACTGATACTAGTCAATGATCTAGAATCTTCTGGAACATTCAAGCTTTTCTTTTCCATTACTTGTGAAGTACAAGGATTGCATGTGCCATTTGATGCGCTCTTTAAAATGGATGGATTCACTTTTGCATGATAGCAAATTGACAATCTCTGTGAATATGTGAGTGCACTCCCTTTAAATAGTACCTTTTGACTATTTTTTTCTCAAAAATGCATGAAATTGAAGATTAGACTGAGAAGTTGTACCTGCTGGAGACTATTTTTTTGCGGGCCTTTAGTAATTGGATGAACGCTTTCTTTCCTTACGTTCCTTTTATGAATAATGGACTTTGTCCCAAAACTCAGTATTCTATAATCGACTAAAAAATTACTGATTTTCATACACTCTCTTCAAAATTCAAAGCCCCGTATCAGTTTGGCATTTTTGAAATATTGTTGAAAAACAATGAACGCTAACCAAGCTTTCAACTTTGTTTTTGAATCGTTTCTGTAACGATATTCGCTTCTGACGAATTCCCCAGCCCACAATGTTGGTGCCATTTTTGTGTGAAATCATTTGTTGAAATTCCGCAATTTCTCGGAAATTACTACCTGAAAAAATCCACGATCATTACTGAGATCGTTAATTTTCCAGTCGTCAAGAAGTAGCTGTAAAATCTATGCATTGTGCGCGAAAATCATGTGCAGCTAGTGCTGATAACGGGCTACGAGCGAACTGATAAGAATAGTGCTTGATAAATAGCGCACTTGGAAGGTTTATACTATTGTTCTGGACATTCTTGAACATTTTTGTCTTTATCGACAATGATTAGTTTCTACGACATTAGTTATTGCTATTTGTTCGCTTGTGTCAACAGTCTAATCCAACTTTCTTAGCACCGGCCTTCACCAAGAAAAAAAGTCGAAAATAATGGCTTTTGGAAATTTTCAACCCCTAAGAAGACAAATCTTTTCAATAAATATTTAGGAATCGGTGGAGCCGGTGTAGTCGGAATCTATCGTCTAGCATATCCTTCATCAAGTTCAGCGACTTCTGCACCTGCTAGCAAGATGGGAGCTTTGAAATCTGATGTTGTTTTTGAAGAAATCAAGGCACGAATTTCAGAGGTGAGTTTGGAAAACTTTGCTAAAAATTCTATCACAGCACTAATTTTGCTTATTTGCAGGAGAAAAATTTGGTGAAGAAGGTTGCCACCTCGTTCAGAATTAATGTCACAGGAGACGACGGATCCGTGAAAAAATGGACCATTGATGCAAAGGTGAGCGATTTTGTAGCTTATATCTATCTAGATTTTAGCAATTCTTTGATCTAAAATAGTGGAAATATTTAAGTCACAATTACAAAGGCAAAAAGCGATTTGACATAGATGGAGCAATAGTCAGTCAGCAATGGTTGCCTTGTTAGTTCCGTACGGGACTGAGAAGGCAAACATTTGGAAAATGGGCTTATTTTGACCTACTGATAACCAGAATATACACATCTTGAATTTTTGTGTAGCAAAAAGGTTGTCAGCGATCTTTTAAAATACTTCATAGAGAACTTAATTACTCTACTCACAATTTTTAACAAAATACGCTGATCTGATTACAGAGCGAGCCTGCATACGTTGGCCACGACGAGAAGCCAGTCGAAATCGAAATTAACATCAAGGATGCTGACTTCATGAAAATTGCTGAGGGAAAATTGAAACCAGATCAGGCAAGAAAAGAATGCCATTGTTATTTTTGAGTTGAAAATATCTTTTTGCAGGCATTCATGCAAGGAAAGATGAAGTTGAAGGGAAACATCGCAAAAGCAATGAAGCTGAAGACTTTGCTAGATCCCAAGATGCTGAAATCAAAAATCTAAGTCAAGGATTCTCCGCGCAACAACCTCATCCAAAAACACCTCGCCAAAAAACCTCGTCTATCTATTCAGAAAATCTAATGCAGTGCAGTTTAGATAAAAATAATTATAATAAAGATGAACGCGCCGTAGTGAAGTCTGTAACTGTTGCGTAAGATTTACATGATGGAATCGACAAGGTCATCTGATAATTTCGACAACTAATAATGTACTCGTAGTAAGCATGCTTATTCCCCCCCCCCCCTAGTGCCAACTCCCAGCCCCGTAGCTCAAACCTGTCAGGAAATCGATAGGCAATCGATACTGAAAACTAATATTGTATTTGTAAGCAGGACACTCACTTATCCCTGTGCTAACTCCCAGCCTCGTAGCTAAGGCTGCGTTCATACAATCCCGAAGTTCGGGAACAGTTCCAGCACAGCGTTCAGTTCGAGCGTTGTGCTGGAATTGTTTCCAAACTTTAGGATCAGTATGAACACAGCCTAAGGAGCCTTCTCACGCATCAGATGCAAATCACCCAACGAAACCCTCAGAGAAATCCTATGCGGATCAGATAGCTTTGTAGTTCCTTGCTCAGCAAACGCACCAGAAAGTACTCTGAAATTTCACAAATACTCTGCTAGACAATGGCTTAACTGCAGCATAAAATGCGAGTCCATTTCCAACAATATTACGCTCACTGGAGTTCTGAAATTCACAAATCTTTTCGCAAGTTCATGGAAAATCAACATCTTGGGAAACAATTTCGTTTACCGTGAATGGCAATGGCCACTTTTACCATGTCGTTAATGTATTTTTCTCGTGGTACTCAACACTTCTCATGGCTTTTTTGGAGTAGCGCTCGCTCTTCTAGCTTCTTACATATGCCTACAAACAACGGCATGGCATACTGCCAAATTGATAGGGAAACTCTGCGCATATACGGTATGTTTTCCCTTGCGCGCAGTGTTATGCGTATATCATGCCATAGTCATCAACTAAAAAGGACCCCTAAAATCCATAAAGAAACAAAAACTAAATTAAAGATACATAAACCTACATCATGTTAAAATGACATCATTTATAGAATGTGCGAGCTTGAAAAAATCAGGGTCGGTAGTAATCTGGTCGAAACTCCGAGTTTAGAGCTCCGCGTTAACTCAAAGATAACTCTGAGTTCCGCTTTTGATACTCTGAGTTACGCTTATTGAAACTCTGAGTTCCGCTTTCGTAATTCTGAATTCCAACTCTCAAGCTCGGAGTTTTGCTTTGAGGAGCTGTTAAGCACTTTGCTGCAAAAGCGACGCTAAAGTAGGGACTCGAACCTGTATGGTCTAGCGTAAAGATCCTATCCCTAAACCGTTAGACCATGACAAACCCATGAACCCTAAAATTGCTTTGCCATAATGTACTCACTCATTCCATTAATACTTAGCAGGTCAAAACAAGTTATACCAAAGCCTCACTCATTTCCATTTCTATCGGGAAGTGGTGGTTCATCACGAGGATTGGTCTTTTGCGCAGCTGAAAGCTTCAAACAATAGAGAAAGCAGATGGCATACGCAATGATAAGAATGGACTATTAGGATTTGCGCACGGAATAAATCCTCCGGGCAAAGTTTGCCCTTCCACGATTTCATCTTACTTACCGTATACCTACCATAACCGTTCCATATGTCACCAGCGTATGCAGCAGATAGACTGTCCGTAATCTGCGCCCCGAATAACTCCAGTGTACCAAATTTCGGCTGATTCCGCCGCTTTAATTCATCTACCGTAAACCTACCGTAACCTCGTCAGATGACACCGCAGTATAAAATGCATGCCATATTCGTGATCAGCGCCCCGAATAACCCTGGTGTACCAAGTTTCAATCAGTTTCGTGATTTCCTACCATTTACCGTATAGCTACCGTAACTCCGCTATATGACCCCATGGCGAAAAATGAGTACCATATTCGTGATCAGCGCACCGAATAACCCCCTGGGCCATGTTTTTACAAAATTTCAAAACTTTGTAAATTACTGCACACCACGATACCCCCATCATGCCTGCTTGAACTACGAGCAAAATGTACCCCGGAGGACTTCTTAGCTGCCCCTCTTTTTTTGCGTACTATTTCTCTTTTTCTGACCAAACTCAGAGTTATCTCTGAGTTCCACGATAGACTGGAACGCGCACCAAACTCAGAGTTATCGCAGACACTAGTTGCGCGTTTGATGGCGCTGTTTCTTGTGCAGGACGATTTCGACAATATTGCGCTACTAGGAGTAAACTACCGCTTACGGAGTATCCTGCCATATCATCGCTTTCCAAATTTGGTCTGTTCAAGCACCTGTTAAGGGTGTCAAAAAGCTCCGCGTTAGCTCATAGATAACTCAGAGTTAACTCTGAGTTATAACTCTGAGTTTCGATAGGTTTACTACCGACCCAGAATCTCCAAAAATTGGATTCTAAAGCTTTGGAAAGGATAAAGTATGACGCAAACAGAGCAAATCTGGACTTTACGGAGGTGTTTTTAGATTCTCATCTGCTGTGTTTACTTTCAGAAACATAAATATTTCTTTGAAGATTTTGATTCTTGGTAAAGTCATTGAAACACGCAACTGCAGCAAAAACATGAGAGCTTCCAGAGTTTCTGCGAGATAGAATTTGATTATTACTGAACATTATTTGTGAAACACAATCAAGTTGAATTTGCTTTGGAGGAACGGCTTGGAATTTTCGGTTGCTATGCGTTGAACGTGATCAAAAAGTAGTAGTTTTTTCCAAACATATATTACAAAATTGATAAACATGATCCAAGCAACAGATGGGTGTGATGTAGCCAATGGCTTACTCTACATAACAGCTACCAGCGCTCTCCGAAGATACTAGAAAAGATTTTTTAAAACTTTGGAAAGATTTGGCGTTAAGGTGCTCAAAGAGACGTGGTGATAACATCGCAAAGACAGCATAGATCAAAGAGAAGGCATGGCTATAAGAAGGAGGATAAAAATCTGAATCGAACGACACTAGGTTATCCATCGATCGGTGTTCTGTGAGTTTTAGTGACCGATGAAAAACAAAACCTTCGGGAGAACCTAATATATTGTGGAGTATCGAGTGATGGTTTGCTATAGCAATAATTAACACCTGTGCCATAATCCTATTTACAGCAGCAAACGCATTTTGCAAAAAGTCTGCAATATGAGACTTCTCCCGCCCCTTTCCCTCCTACGACCTGCTTAGTGGTCAAGCCTAGATTAGCATTGTGATTTCTAACTCACTGCAATGAGTGCAAGCTTGACACTGACTTGTCAAATTATCTCCTGCTTCTCTCTAATTGTAAACATATACCTGCTCTATATGTATCATATTTGCACTGTTAGAGTAATCAAGTCCTACAAGTACGTCTTTCTACTCACAGCGCTGCAGAATATCGTATTTTCGTTAAGTATTATGTTGGTTGTTCCGGTGGGTTTCCTCGAATTGCTTCAGACATTCTGAACCTTGACACAATAGATCGCGCTGAAAATGTGACTTTTTTGAAGGTACCATTCGCTTCGGATTTCGCTCTGGCTCTCTTAGGCATTGGTCCCTTACGTGTGCTATCGGGCGGACCGATCATGATGATTCTCTTCAACCACATTTTCATCACCTCACTACTCATTGTCACAAATAGTTTTATATATCGATACGTGCACATCTGCAGGTAAGCGGAGCTTGTTGCATACTTACTTTTATAAGAATATCAGCGGAATACATCTGGAAATCCACTTCAGTCAATAAACTTGCGAGGGACTAGTCAGAAGTTGAATTGCTTCAACATGCCGCGGTATCACTGGATGCAGCGTAACGCTGACTCCGAATCTAATCTTTTCATCTGCTAAATGCCGGTAGACAATGTTATAGTCCATTATGTTACAAAGAAGTCGGGTAGGCAAAGTGAAAATCAGTCATATAGATCCACGTTTGCTCAAGGTTAGCCAAACCATGAATTTAAGTCGCTTTATTAAGGCGATGCTTATGAAACTTGGTCCACTAAGGTGTTCAGCTAATGAGAAAAATCTAGTGTTAGCGTCCTCTGCTGCATCCTATGGTATGCGAGCTGGCTGAATGGCACTTCGATCTTACCGCTTTCTTGCTAATGTAACGTTACAGACCGAATTCAATCAACATTTATTGCTCCACAAAAGGCATATTTGCTTCCGTGGTCATCAATGCCATTGTTTTAACAATCTGGCAAGCATCCATATGCACGGTTTTTTGGCCGAATCCACGAACCATTGAGCAACTCAGTGAAGTTGTACTAAAGAAACTGGGAGTTGATCTCTTTGACTGCGCACAAATCAATTTCTCATTAAAGGTGAGTGCTTCTAGCAAAACTCCATTTGAACGAATTCACACGAGTGTTTAGTCAAACCGGAAACATGTATTTGATTACATCTCGGCTGTGAGCGTGCTGCTTATTATGTCGGTGCTGATGAGTATCATGATCTATTCAGCTATGAAGATCAATAGTGCTCTCAAATCAGCAACATTCAACAGCACCATAAAAATGCATCGACAGATGCTTACCCTGTTGTTGCTACAGGTGATGCAGTTTAAATAAAAAATACCCCAAAAATGTGCTTACTGTTATTGTTGTTGACCCTTTGTCAAGAACTTATTCCATAAGCTTTAGGTAACATTTTGTAGAGCTATCAAACTTTGTTAGATTTACAGTATAGAGCGAAATGATCTCTTTTCATCACTGTAGGCTTTAGAAACTTGCGCATACAATCTCATAGTGAGATAAGGCAATTAAAATTTTTGAAAAGAAGTCAAAATGTGCAACGAGGTTTTTCATGCATACAGATTCCAATACACAGCTTTTACGTTCTCAGTTCTCAAAGCTTATTGAATGGCGTAAAATAATTTTTTTATCGATTCCAGCTGTCACAAGTATATCTGACAAACTTATTAGGAAAGCGTTACGGTGAAGAGCAAGTTTTATCTTATATATAAAGCTGAATGTCTGTTTGTCTGTCTGTCTGTATGTCTGTCTGTATGTCTGTCTGTCTGTATGTATGTACGTATGTTCCGAATACAAATTTTTATTTCTGAACCGATCGGGACCAAACTTGGCACACATATACTTCAGGGCAGGGAGCGTGTCATAGGCTACTTTTCGTTATCGATCGATATCGATTTTATTGATTTTTTGCAAAATTCGAGCTAGAGGGCTGGGATTTGGCAGAGGGGGGTAATCGAGCATGCTGATCACCCCGAAGGGGTGATCAGCATGCTCGATTACCCCCCTGTGCAAAATCCTAGCCCCCTAGCTCAAATTTTGCAAAAAATCGGTAAAATCGACATCGATCGATAACGAAAAGTGGGCTGTGACACGCTCCCTGCCCCGAAGTGTATGTGTGCAAAGTTCGGTCCCAATCGGTTCAGAGATAAAAATTTCTATTCGGAACATACGTACACGGGTCTAGCTGGCAGGCCCGGCGGAGCCGGGCAAGCCAGCTAGTATCTAAAATTACCGACCCTGATTAACTCGTGTAAAATTTTCAAAGTTTTGGTCCCTTTAAGGGCAAAATATGACTTTTATTAACTCAAGACCCCCCCCCTCAAAATTCCTAACAAGCGTGCAGCAATAAAGAGAGAACGGTAGTTCTCTCCATGATGCAATTCTAAATTGTAGACAGCTCTACAAAATGGTACTTGAAGTTTTTGAAAGATTCATAGTAAGGACCTATTAACAATCAAACAGCGGGCACATTTTTTGGGACACCCTGTATACTGCTTGAATGTACCTATCAATTTTTGAGTCACGAAGTAGCACATCAATTATAGACTGCTTGCCCTATACTGCTACTGCACATGCCTTGCTTCGTGACCATGGTCTGTACGCTCATTGGTGTGGAGATGTCCAGCGGAACCTCATACTTCTTTGGCATTTCGCTATCTCTATTTCCTCTTATAAGCACTCTCATCATTATTGGATTTTTGAAAGAATACCGCAATTATACGCTGAACAAACTTCGCCTGCCCGGGAAATCTTTACCACTTTCGTAAATCTCAATTTGAATAGTCTCATTTTTCTTCCTTGCCATCATTTCGATAAATATGATCTTGATTGGTTAAATGCGGCGCTAGTGTCAACGCATTTTGAGCGATATCAGCTCTTTTTTAAATCAACAATTGAAAATTGCTCCCGCAAAGGAGGATCTTACCTACCCCAACAAAAAAAGAAATTTAGGCTAGTGTCTGTTGTAGGCTTCAGTACCGGTGATTTATCATAAAATTCGACGTATACACTCTCAAAATGCTCAATGACGTAACAGCCTTTGAAGTGAACTCTATATATAGTGCAGCTAATGGCATCTCTGCTCACTCACTTCAATGAAGGATAATTGGGATAAGCTCGAGGCTAAGCTTTGGTAACTAATGACGTATAAAGTCTCTTTTATCAATCCACGATTACATCGTTAGCAACTGAGCAGAGCATATACCTTTTGCAGGCTGATGAAAGCGTTGCCCTTCTCTATATCTTCACAGTAAAACTGAGAGAAGAATATGATTTATTGGAGAATTACTATCTTCAGTGCTTGACCGAGGTTGCTTTGCATGAATACTTTGATTGCGAAATTGAAAATTCTCAACGTAAATCAAAATATGAGAAACATCAAGTGTCTTTGTAACTCTTATTGATGTGTAACTACCATGTTGGACTTCTTTTTCACAAGTATCCTGCTCCACATGCGTTTTATATTTGATACGGAATTGCAGGATGCGGCTGAAGTAATCATCTGACACTTCTTACTACTAGAACGTGTGGATGACATCTGTAGTGCCCTTGTAAACGATAAGGCATCAATTTGAATGCGTACGCACAATAAGGATCAAGGCAGAGTATGAACTCAAGGAAGAATTGAATGAATGAAGCTGGCAGAGATCTTCTCAAAAAAGAGCCTGAAAGTGTCAAATTAAAAGCTAACATAATTTTTCTACTTTACACAATATTCATGTAGGGTTTGACACATCGTTGAAAGTGGCTTCAAAATTTCTTCTCTTCTTTGCTGAGATCTGGAGTAGAATCGAAAGTGCGGATTTTACAAGGAAATGTGTGAGAATCGTAAAAATTCTATGCGTCATCTGGGGAATGCTCTCCTAAATTAAGTTTGCCACCCGTGCAAGGCGCTGGCTGGTGTTATGCTATGCATGCTTTTCTTCTACATTGACATAGCAGCTCAAATACAGAATTGATGGTCCTGCATTTAGTACGGAGAGTTGACATCTATTAGTATTTCGTTGTCAACTTCAAAAATCATGGTCTAGGTAGCAAACTGAACAATGTGAGTCACTAAATGGTTGTTTTATGAGCAGTCAACTTCGAAGGAAAGGTAACCCAGTTATTATAGTCAAAAAACCTCTGGTTGCACCACAGCAAGTTCCTATTAGCACAGCAACAAACATCTCTTCAAAATAACTACTCAAGTCGTTTCAATATGAATCATGTAAACAACCATCTGTACAATATGTTTGTCTCTCAGTAAAAATGCAATTTCGGCAGTTAGATTTTTGCAAGGGGTGGAAGTTAAAGCCCGCACACTTAATAGACTTTCATAGCAATCCTCTATCTATAAATTGCACATGCCGTTGCAACCATGTCGTTTTATAGGATAAAATAATTACAGCTTTGAAAGTTCTGGTCGCGGCTAGGTATCTGCGGCTCATTAAATCTGCTGTCAAAAGTGCACCGTTCAACCATTGATTACAGCACTTGTGTGGCGGCTCGGTAGGGCTAGCAGCCAGCGCAAGTGCTCGCGTCTACACCCCAGATCCCTATTGTCCCCTACACGTGTCGCGCGTCCGATAAGGTTAGCTACTCCTTACTGGCCGCTGCCGAGCACTACCCCTACCCGTATAACGACATGATAATAGCTCGTAAACGCCAACGAAAAGAAAGGGACAGACTAGACTAAGTATATTTATCTTCAAACACATAAAATCTGCACTAACCCAATCTTGCGTTTTTCTGGAGGTGCTCGAGTCGAAATTCCTCGGAGCTTATGGTAACGATCCAAAGTGATTTAGAAAAACACCTAAACGATTTTTTGATTTTTGGTCATCAAAATTGCTGAAACGTCTATTAAAATTTATTTTTGATCTTACAATTAGTACTGAGATATATTCTTTTCTACAAAAAGAAGCTGGTAGCGATTGGACATCTCTGCGAATAGCTACGGTTTTCGATTTTTTAAAATGACTTATTGGCCCGTAGTAAAGCTAATTCAGTTCAGTTGAACTGAACTGAGGCCCTCATCCAAGATTCGGTAAGGTAGATGCCTATCACCAGCTTCCCATGTGGTAAGAATGCAAAATGAAATTTCAGCTGACCGTCCGTCTACCTGACGAGGTAGTCTACCTTACTTCAGTCAGTCCACATTCAGTTAGACTACCAATTGATTTAAATAGTGTGTCAATGATGACACGCAGGGAAACTTCTCGTAAGTTACTCCTGAGTAACTTACGATACACGTCAGTTTAACATGTCGGTGAGGAGCCACAGTGATGCTGACGAGACTTAACAAAATCTAACAAGTGCGGCCACATCCCCTCCGCTAGTGTCAATGACGTAGATGTGAATGTTTGGCAAACTCGTCTTGACTCGTATACTTGCATGGACGTGGCGCTCTCAATCTTATCATCGTGGGTGGTTGGCAATATCAATCAATGGCTCGACTGAAGGCAAGCTGACTCTCGAAGCCTCAACTAAAATTTTATTCAGCTGAGATCGAATGAAGCAGCTTTACTACGGGCCATTGTTTTCGTTTAGTTTTGATTCTCTAGAATGTACTACAAAATATTGAGTCATTCGGAAAGTTTTTCTCGCTTTTTGCGCCTTCAAGATTGCTGCCATATTTTGAAAGAGTGCCAAAGGGCTGATAGGGAATGCTAAATATAAATATATAGAGAAAGTCTTCTAGCTTTTGAGGATCCCACCAAGCTTGCAAAAATGGCTTTGTGGGGAAGTTTATGTGCCTATAAAGGCGACATGTGAAAACGCGATTTTCGAATGATTGCGTTCTCTAAGCTCAAACTTGTATATAAAGTAGTTGAAGGTGCCATCATGGTGCGCATTGTAATTGGCAAGGCTTCATCTTTCTCAGTGTTGTTGCAAGATTGTTTTTGAAAATTCACATTCAGAGAAGTGATGGCTAATATTTTGCATGTTCTGGGAGATGTTGCTGCCATATAGGTGAGCCCCTCAGAGGGTGCTTCAGAACAAATCGCAATTATAGCTGCATAAAATTATCAGCAGGCTTTCAAGTGTCACCTAACCCTATTAGAAGCCATCTTCGCAAAAGCTGCTAAACCGAAAAATTTCAACAAGTAAATACCCCACAAATTGCCGCACTCGCAGATTGAGGGCGCGGTGACTCTGCTTTTCTTGCTCATAATTTGATAGAGCAATCCCTTATTGAACTGAATTGATATTTATAGTAAAAAGTGGGTCACGTTCGCCCACAAGAAGCGACAGTGTGATAAATTATATGGAAAAAAGCATTTAAAACATGGCCATGGAGTATCATTCGCTCAGAAGGGTGATGAAACAAAATC